AGGCTATGCAATTTTCTCTTCAAATGACACATTTTAGGTACTGAAAAATAATTTGATATTTACCAAAACAAATATGCTATCTTTCATAATAAACCTTTATCATATCATTATAGTTATATCACATTAATACCCACTTAAAGCTTGCTTGCTAAAAAGTACTAATAATCATTGCTAAGTAAATATCTGACAAACTCTCTGCTAAGGAAATTTTGGGGGGCAGGGTCATATTTATAAGAAGGCAAATTTACAAAAATGGACAGTCACGTAAAAGGAATATTAAATATGGTTATTTACCAAAAGCCGTATACAGTTGCACATGCAGCAACTACACTTGCTGTTACTAAATATTAAAAAATTAGAAACTCTGGACACATCAGAGGATTCTATTTCCCTCACTAAATACCATGCCACCAACAAGCAGAAATAATTTTCGTTCTTGCACACTAAGAGAGGGGGCCACCAATGGTGTTGGGACTGCTCTTCGTCCAAGAACATTTAAGGAATTTCAAAAAATTAACATGTCCAATGATTACCAGCAGCTTACAAATGAACACAGAATACAATATTATACCATGACAAATATGTAAATGCTACCACATACAATAATTATACTTAATTGACCTTCCTCATTTTTCTATTTATCTATTAACTTATTGCCAATGGGGAAAATGGGGAAAATGTCGTGTTCATTTTTTATATTTTTTTGGTGAAATGCCTCTACAGATAGATGGCTCTGCCTTAACTGATTTCACCTTTCCTTGAATTGGTGGGAAAATGTATCTTTTACTAGTGCTATGAATATTGATGATGTTATTTTTATAATAAACATTATAATTACTATAATGTTATACACATTAGTAACAGCAAAATAAGATAACGTAAAATATTTTCGAAAATTAAAGAAAAGGGTGAACAGGCGAGACAGGCAGCACTCATAATTGGCTCATTGGTGGCTTAGTACAAGTGTAGCCACATATGTGTAAAAACAATCAAATAAGTAAGCTCACAGTGGGCATGGCATGGCATGCCCATCAGCAATGGGTTAATTATGTTAAATAATCACACATTTTAAATCTTATCTCCTAAAAGACTAGCCTCTGTGATCTATGTATAAAACATCTTTTATAATGCATGACAAGTTGCATAACCATGAAGATAGATATTTATACATGACCTTTCGTGAGTTGGTTTATAATTCTTGTTGCTGTTTTCATGACAATAAGAAGTGTTTTACTTCATGATACTGTCCATCTTCAAAGCCCTAGTCACTTTGGGTTTCATTTTAAGATTAAAGCAGTGATTCTCAACCAAAGATAAATTTACCTTACGGAGGTAAAGGAGTACGTGGGGTAATTCTGTAATAAAATGAATGGTCTACTAAGCAGTTATCATCAGACAGGTGATTACTTACAATTTGTTGTACTAATTTTGTTATCCATACCCATTCCAAATGACAGTTATATAATTAGATATGGCAACTTTTGGTGGACTTTCCCCTAATCTCCTGTTTTGTCTTAGGGAAAACTTTGATAGAGCTGGTTCTGATTTCTATGTGAAGTTCAGATGCATTCCCACTTCTTACTCTAACCCTTCATTCTGCTTGTCCCCTTTATCACAATATATCTATGTGATCCAGGTTTCTCTACTTTAGTAGCAATTACAACATATACAAGGAACTACCTAAAGCTATATGGCATCATGAGGATAGCATTGTCATGAGCAACTCCTGAAATAAAGTAACTAATTAAAACATTTAATTTACCCATTATGAGTGCTCTTGGTATATTTACTAGCTTGTTTTTGTGAACAGTCATCACATTTTTACCATCATCAAAGATTATTTTCTGTTAAACCTTAGGATTGAACATATTTCCATTTCTTACTGTTCCATTATTTAGGGTATAAACCATGAAATACATCCTTTATCAAAGATTACTTTTCAAGTAAAGTTTAAAAAATAAAGGTTCTGCCTCTCTCCTTAAGTGCATTTGTGCAGGCTATGTACTTTTTAATAGAATTTACAAGAACTGTACTTATTGTAACAAATGTAGGAGGTATAAATGGCAATGAATATCTTCCCAGTACAT